ATCGTGGACCTGGACGTGAAGCGGAACCGGAACCGCGAGGCGCTGCGGGCTCTGCACAAGGACCCCGACCCGGACGGTGAGGCCCGGGGTGCCCCGGTGTGCCGTTACCTCGAGCCAGGCCGCCCCACGCCCGGCCCTGGTACCAGGCCTGCATGAGCCTACTTGTGCAAAGGAATAGTTTTATATTAGGAAGAAAAAAATTGGTGTCCACAAGGACCTTCTTTTTCCCCTCCTCAGATAAAGCAATGGTCTGCTTTGGAAACATGTTCATTGAGCTGCCAAAATCAAAGACTAAGGAGATGATGCAGAAAGGTAAGACAGACTTCTGGAGTGTCCTTTTTTGTACGTTCAAGCTTCTGTCTAGTCCTGGGCTTTGAAGCACACAAAACCTTCTGACTGTAGTTAAAAATAGAGATTCTTGGCATTCCTCGTGTTCTGCTGTCCTGGACAGAGCATCGCAGGGAGGCACGTTTTGGTAGAAAGTGAACTTTTTCTATAGGCTGCAGAGAACATGCAACAAGCCTGCGTGCTCGAGGTTGCAAGGAGAATGAAGCTCACAAGCATCCTCTCCTGTCACCCCATGCTCAGGCTTCGACCCTGAATATCTCCCAGCAGCAGCCAGGAGTTGGGGTAGCTCTGTGTTCATCCACAGAACTCCACAGCTCCTTACCGCTCTCTCCCTTCTCTCAGATCAGGAGCACTTGGATGAGGAAATAAACAAGCTTCGGAAAGAGCTGCGTGTGAAGGTCAACCGTCTCTTTGAAGCTCAAGGTAGATGCTCTTATTCTTGAACCTTCTCAGCGAACACCCAGGAGCAGATGTTGCATGGCAGGAGGAGCTCCTGCGCTCTGTATGTTCCTAGAGCCCCCTTTTCCCTCGCTTTCCAATTCTGTTCCTGTTCAAGCAGCGCTGTGGGACCATGCAGCTCTTGTTGCAAAGCTGTCATCCACTAGCAGACTAAACAGGCTTTCCAGCTACTCCAATGACTCTGTATCAACTTCCAGGGCTATCACTGTCTTCTCTAGAGTCCTTGCAGTGATGTCTACTTAACATCTTTTGTAGCTACTTAACTTATTTTGTAGCAAAACCCTGATTTTCTGCTTGCTTTCTCTCAGGTAAAGCTGAGCTGAAAGGATTTAATCTGAACCCCATGACTCCTGAGGAAATGAAACTAATCAATCGCATACTGGAGGGCTGAGATGGCAGTGGCATCACCATGACCATGGGCAAATAGTGTTGCTTATCAAGGCATTATTTAGGCTGTCACGTGTGGAATTCATACTGCTCTATCAGTGGCCAACCTCCAGGGTTTTCTTTAGGAGAACATCTGTATTCCTGGAACCTTTCTCAAGTGGTATTTACCTGGTAGGCTTGGGGAGGCATTTGGCTCCTCAAATAGAACGCTGCAATTTCTTTGGACTATAAACTGTTCCTGCTTCTTGCTGGATAAAGATTGGGCGCTGGAACTGTGCAGAGGAAAACGTTAGAACACAGGCTCATTCAAGGCATTTGACAAACTGCCATTGCTAGGGTGGAAGTGGGATTATTAAAATCTGAGAAACTAAGCATTCCTAATAGTGTGCATGTTCTGTTGTTGTTTTTTTTCTTTTTTAACGTAATATCTTCTGTAAGTTAGCTTCAGAGCTAGTTCATTCTAGTGTCGGAACAGGAGTAGGAGGGAACGAACTGTGAATCCACAGTGTGTCCAAAGCATAAAGGAAGAGTTGTGTAAGCCTGTGGTATTAGAACAAAGTAAAACTATACATCAAAAACACTTCAGGAATCTTTTTTAAAAAAATGTGTGAAGAGGGATACAAGAGGGCAGCATCCTTCTAGTCTCCGTGGGAAAACATTTACTACTGTCAAGTTGGAAGGCAAGAGAACAGGGAAAACAAGGCTTTCAAAACTAGAAGAAAGGATAAAGTGTTAAAAAAAGAAAAAAAGACTGACATATCCTTGGCCTGTCTTGTAGTAAAAGGACAATTGATTTAACCAATAGTTGTTTCCTCAAAGGTTTTAAAATTTATCTTCTGTACTACCCTAATTAGTCTGAACTTGCTACCCCAACACAAGTTAAGACTATAATAAGACTAAGAAAAATTAAACATAAGTAGTAATGGACTAAGTTGAGTTTGACTTCTTCTGTGTACAGGAAAGCATCTAGGTCCTGACAAGCTCTTTCTTTTTTGAACTTCTTAAATTCTATTCAAAAATATCTTTATAGAAGTTTAAACGTGGGAGTTTTACTTGTTTCGCTGGCTCTCTAGCTAGTTCACCTGTTCTGTCAAACTTCACATGCCTAACACAAAATTGCACCTGACCCTCTGCTTGCTCAGTTCCCTTTTGCAGCCTCTGAGCAGCTGCGTAAAACTTTAAACAGAACACCTCCGTTTTCCTGATTCCCTAATCAGCCTTCCAGTTTCATATGTTAGATGTGAATCCTCTAGACAACCTTGCATTGCCGTGACCAGTTCCACATATGCGTGAAACTTGAACAGTGTTTAGACAGAAAAGTCCTGTTTCAGACTCCTTAAAACTGAGGGGTGTTTAAAAAATATTTAAAAAACAACTAATCTTAAATTTAAGTTTTAAAATTCCGTAGCTTTGCAAGAGGCAAGGATGTCCACTACAGGCTTAAGTTTCAGATACACAGATTAAAAATAACGTCAGCTTGTGAACTGAGCTGTTTTGCTGTAGCTTTTCAGAAAGTTACGTCTCTTCTAAACGTGAGCAGTTCATGTTTAGACATGAGCAGACATGTTGTTCAGTCCCAGTATTATAACTGCACTCTTGCATAACCTGTATAGTACAGCCAGTAAGTGTCTCCGTAACATGTGATGGCAAGGTTATTTTTACAGTATCACAGCAACAGGTTTTATGATCTGACATGTTTCCATAGTAGTGGCAGTAAGAGGATCAGATGCCTGCCTTCCTTAAAAGCTCTGTTTTGCTCTGCAGAATGTGTTCAGCTCCTTTATTTCCTTACGCAGTACAAAACTAACCTATATGAGTGACCCACAAAGGACAGCTAAGAAGCTAGCATCGCTAGCGTCACCCATTACAAAGTATTTTATTCAAATTCTTCTAGCCGCTTGGTTCTAAAATGATGTCAGCATATTTGATCCAAAGACCCCCCCCCCCCAGTCCTACTCCCATCTACAGGGCGTGTCCACAGCCACACTTAGCGCACAGAGTTGTATTCCCTTCCTGCTAGTCCTGACTAACACACCAAGCTGTGGCTCCAGCCTGCAGCATAGAACAGCACCGAGTAATCTTTTTCTGTAGGGTTACCTCCAGCCACAGCTCCCCATAACTAAGATACTTAGCTGTACCATTGTTAAAACTCATCTCACTCCTGTCGTTAGTTTAGATAATAGATTCATTTGTTAAGGTTTTCCCAGCTTGGGAGCTGTAACAGTTAAACTTACAAACAAAGAACAACAACAGTCTCATGCTGAGGCAGCAAGCGTCCAGAAAAAAAAGTAGGAACTGCTGCGCTACAGTCTGAGGAAGGGGGAGAGTGAGATTCTTCCATGGTGCGCTCTCACAGCCTAAGCTGTGGGTCAGCATTACACTTTCTGCTGGGCATGAAGACTCCTGAAAAGCTGCTTCAGTTGTTTCTTCCTGTCATTGTAGCAGCCTGCAAAGAAAGCATTAACCAGAGAGTTATATGTGACCATACTCTTCATTCCTGTAAAGGGATAAGGTAATTGCCCGCTTTCAGGTAAAGCTGTACTCTGCTTTGGTCTTTTGGAACTACAGCCAGAGATGACTGTAGGCACACTGAGCTGAGTACTACCAAAGAAATGTATGATACATGCTTAGCCTCACTGAGGTACGATTTAAGAATCTCAGAACTACTTCACACCAGTAAAACACACAGTGTCAAAAAAGTGCCTAATAAACAGTTACCACAATGACTGTGGAGCAGTTTTTGAAGCCAAGCTGGCACGTAAAGAAGTCTGCAGTGGTTTAAAGTACAGGCCTAGAAACAAAACTGTTGCCACTTCATTTATACACGTTCCCAACAGTGCTTCTGCAATCTGATTACTTACATCCACTTTTGGAAAGCATTTGCTCCTTTTGGACTCTTCATCGTGTAAGAGCACACACACCCTGTTCTTTTGTTCTCAAGTGAGATGTGCGTGCTCTCTTCTTGTTGGCATACAGATAACCTAAGAACCTGAGTAGGGCACCCTGCCAGCTCTGGATGAGTAAGTACCTAAATGGGTATTTGCCCTGAAGCTCTCATTCAGTGGTGTATCCAGGTTTCCTTCTCTGCTGACAGGCCCATCGTTCCATATAAGGTCAAAGCCTCCAACACGCTTCTCCTTCCCTGTCAGCCTACAACATCAAATGCATGTACTGAAGTACCTGAGTAATGCCAATCATCTGTCCGCACACAGGAATAAAATTCCAGTCAATCAGAGACAAAGCTGAACAGCTGAAAGCAGTGGACATCTTTTTATATAAGCACAGTTGCAAAGTCAATCACATCATGATGCAAGGCACACTTCTTGGAACACAGAGCTTGAAGAGGAGGTAAGTGCGGGAAGCACGATAAAGAACAGACTCTGAAGGAGAGTTCTTGTGCGAGTCCCAGCTCCAACACTAACTCCATTTCCCTTACGCCCCGTGTTGCTTTGTTTTCCCACTCTGAAGTGGCAGTATGCTTGCTTACTTTGCTCGTTTTGGAAATTCATTACTTAATGGTTATAAAACTTAGGAGGATTATGATCAGTTGCACAGAAGAGACAGAACCAGACCATCCATTTCATGCATTTTAATAAAAACTGTTAGAGGATAATAAAAATCTTGCCCACCTGCCTTCCATGTCCACAATATGAAGTGTGTCTTTGAGAAGATGACACTTGAGTTCATAGTCTTCCTGGCTACTGGCAGCGAGGGAAGGTGAAGCATTTACCTCAAGAAGCCAGCTAAGGAGAAAAGATGAGCAGTGAATTATGGAGAAACGGACATTTTTGCCAACGGTTCCTCTAACAGAAAAGTCCATCTACAGAAACATCATTACATGCTAGCAGGCAGGAATAAGAGTGCGAAGCAATAGGAAATCTAACCCCAAATCTCATTCCTGTACACTGAGCCAAAGAACATTCTGCGCTTATTGCAAAGTTTCTATTCCTGTTCTCAGTGGTAATAAAGAAAAAATCCCTCTAGCATCCAGAAAGGTATACAAGTTAAAAACAAAGTCCAGATGAAACAGTAAATGCCAGGGAAAATTCACAGAATAAACATTAACCCTTTTCTGGTGGAGGAACACAGATGTATCCTGGGAACAGTTCCCTAAGACAATACAGAAAATGGTCAAATAACTCTCCTATGAGAACCCAGTAAAAGCAGCAAACTGCAATAGCAGTTTCTGAGAATTACAATGACATCAATGACTTTCATTCCAATTCACTACAGTTAGATTTGTTTCCTGAACAACTAAAGTTACTCTGCTTCTTTATGCGCTGACTGTCTAAGCAGTAATTTGGTTTGAGGCTATGAACAGACTAGATTGTATGAATTAAGGCCATCCAAGACCACAGCTGAGCTGCGTTTATTTGCTCACTTGAAATAAAGCTGTCCCCAGGGGCACTGCATGAAATACTGGACTGATGCTGACTGGACCCAAGGCTTTAACAGGTATACCAGCTACTCTGTCTTCTTAGAGGGAAGAAGAGTAAACAAATGAGAGAAGACACTTCATAAGAGAACACTGTCAACATAAGGAAGTTTCCTTAAGATTTGTTTTACCTACAGTACTAATAGCACTTTACATGATTAAGGCTGAAAGAATAACAGTCTTATTTGCTTGTCAGTTCTGAAGTACTATTTGCCGTTTCTATTTTTGTCAACTTGGAAAATGTAGCGGATGAAAATGAGACTTTCGGCTGAACTTTAATCGATATATATTTCTCATTTAGCCAGTGAGAAAAGCTGTGTTTAAAAAAAAATAAATAAATAGAGTCAAATTAAGAGGTTTTTTGTTTGTTTTAATCCTCAAATCCTGTGGAGCTCTTTTTCTCTCCACTAATAACAGAAGGACATTGTTCAGTTTTGGTCTGCCTTTTGGCCAGCATACCACAGATAAAGGAGTCATGTTCTAGTGCTAGCAGCCTAATAGCAGTGGCAGGACATTTATCAATGCCCATGGGATACTGCTGTAATATATTGTGTCTAGAATCATAAACAGCAGAAGAGACCATGATAACCCTTCCATTTCTGGTAATTGCTGTTCTACTTGTGATATGTTGATACTGGAGGAAAAATATTGCCCAAAATAGCACTGTGTTGTGTAAACCTGCTAAAAGTACAGACAAATTTACATGTTGCAGCACCCAGCTAATAAGCCCTGATACTCTGAGCAAAACCAGCTGTACTGCTTCCAGATTTCAGCTTCCTTCATATAAAGCAGTTCAAATATCTTTAAATTTCACTTAGTTCCTGGACTGGCTGCCTCTAAGCCAGCTTGCAAGCACCTATCCACGAGATATAGAAGCATCCCAAAGCATTCCTATCTCCCAGGGAAAGCAGCCAGCCTGATACCGTAGCCCCTTGTATGTTTATTAACACCCTTACGGTTTCAGATTCTGATCGATCAAGATGTCATATCCATAGAGCTCAAAGCAGTGTTTGTCACTGATAATCACTTTCTGAACACTCTGAAGGCTCTTGATGAAAATGTTGTCCATATCCGCAAAGAGAACTTCCACCAATTCTGCTCCGTGCTTGGCAGTCAGGTACTGTCTGAGCTGCTGAATCATCCACTTGCAGCCCTGAGACATCCAAACACAATTACACTAAACTGTTTCCAACAGATGACAATGCATTCAATCTGCTAAAAATCATCGCTCTGCAGTCTCTACAGCCAACCAAGAATTCTCAGTAAAAAGCCAGACATCGAAAGGTAGGGGCCACTAATTCCACAGTGCAGTTAAGCTCTTCGAGCTTGATTACTGTGTGGCGTTAGAAAAAATTATTAAGGTTCCCATTAGAAGTTCCCTATCAGCAATCATCTCATCTACTATCAGCGCATTGCAACGACGCTCCTTTCCATACATACGAGAGAAATTTATAGAAGGGAGCAGCCTATAAAATGGGAAGTTCACCACAGTCCTTTATTACTATCAAAAGTTGACTTTTGTCTCAGATTCGCTAAGAATATCACATCTAAGATTTTCCTCTCTCTTTCAACTGCTGCCTCTTGAGACAGGAAGCTTAACAGTGACAGTTGCGCGGTGGAATTGTTAAGCTTGTCGTACCACTGTGGTCTTAGAAGTGCAGGGCTAAGCAATAAGATATCTACATCTCAGAGAAGCACTAACCAGAAAGTTATTATGTTTGAAGTCGAAAAGATCAGCCTTATAGATGAGCTAACAGCTGTAAAGCAATAGTTAAAGCAGAACACTTGCCCTCTCTCTCCTAAAGCTTCTATCAATGAAGTCACATTTATGGGTATCTGGAGACAAGATAGCACATTTAAGTGGCTGCAGCACACGTCCACAGCATGGCAGCTGGCATGATGAGGTCAGCTTGCTTGCATCTGCCAGAAGAGTCCAAATGGCAGGCATCAGGGGAATAGTCTACAGGCAGTGCATATTCACTCACCTTCTCTGGATCATAATCAGGTGCAGTCTTTTGCACTGCAACGTTTGTGAGATGAACATCTGGCAGGAAGCGGAGATAAGGATCAAAGACAGACAGTGAACAAGTAAATATTGAATTCTTACTCTAAACCATCCTTTTCTGCCCCAATGCCACCTCCCTGTCTGTAACCACAGGCTTCAGCCACCCGATCTTATATTCAACACCACATGATAGTATCTTACTAAAAAATACAGGAAAAAGAACAAAAGTCAGAAGTAATGACAAGCAAGTATCTAGAAAAAAGAATACATGACTGCCCTGAGCTAACACTGTCCCTCATGACTGACATGAAGCCCTTCACAAAAGTATGCCTCCAACCCTCAGCACGCCTATATCCAAGAGCGTTTGCTGTACCACTCTGGAACGGCCCTTGATCATTCAGAGCGAGTATGAACTCTGCTGAACTATCACTGAGGAAAGTGATGGGGTTTTTCTGTCTCTTAAGCTGCCAAATTAAGGTGGGATACCTTTTAGGAGGATGTGTTTATCAAATAAAATCTATCAAACTCAATACAGTAGCAAGTGTGACACACAGGAAATCAAACAGTTCTACCCAATGAATCATTTTGTTCTTAATTTCTATGAAGCTAAGGAAGAAGAAAAGCTGCAAAAATTCAACCACTAAGAATAAAACGAGAACTGACGTTTCACCATTGGTCCTAGCTGATTTTTCATACTGACGTTTCTAATGATCTACTGACCAGTCTTCCTGTGAAAAAAAGATAGGAGACAGACAGAATGACAGCAGCAGCAACAGGACAGGAGAATCCCATAGATGTTTAGAGGAATCAGAAGTGACAAGATGCGTCTGATATATCCGATATCAAACATTACAATGTTATATTCCTTTTCTTACCCCTTTTTATAGGGCGCACAGATGGGTAGGATACAATGATCATCTATGCTATTCAGAGTAAATCGTGTATTAGAGAAGCGAGCAAATCCATCCCTGTATAACCAGGCCTTCAGTGGGACGTACTGAGAGAACAGGAAAAGAGCAACCAAACATTAAGGCAAGAAAATCCAGTTCTGGCATAGCAATTACATCATAGTATTTTGCACTTACAGACGTCACTAGAACATAAACTCTCAAGTCAAACTTTCGACCTGTGAAACACAGAAATATACAATCCAGCGCAGCAGTTGATATTGCCAACTAATATTAAAAGTACCCGAGAAGTTTATCTATAAATAATCCATTTACTTTTGCATGTGTATAATTCACACTTTTTGCTACTTTAGCAGGATTTGTATGAATATTTATCTAATCTTAAAAGCACCAGTGGGACCATTACTTCAAACTGAGGATTATACACTTAAGTTTCTGGAAAAATAATGTAAGATTTAAGTTAGTATTCCTTTGAATTATTTTGATGAATACTTGGGCATACACACTAATGAAGTAATGATTAATCTAAGCAAAAGAGTGTGTGTGTGTGTGTGGGGGGGGGTGTTTGTTTTTTAAAATCACAGAATAGTTGAGGTTGGAAGGGAACTCTGGAGATCATCTAGTTCAACCCCCCTGCTCAAAGCAGGGTCAGCTAGAGCAGGTTGCCCAGGACCATGTCCAGTTGGGCTTTGAGCATCTCCAAGGAGGGAAACTCTTCTAGGCACCCGTTCCAGTGTTCAACCACCCTCGTGTTATGTCATAACCAATTATGTCTTAACTAGGTCTAATGATTCTTCACCAGGTCACTTCTATAGTCTTAGAAGCTTTCTCTCGGCAAACCACTAAGCTACGACACTATAGATACTGACACTGCACATTATTCTCAGCCACATTTAGGCCCAGAAACAGTTCAGAGAAAGTCAGTCACGATTCACCAAACAGATCTATGATGTCCTATTTTCAAATAGGAACATCATCTTTTAGAATATTGCTTTCCACATACCAGAAAAGCATAGACTTAGATGGGCATCTTACCTCCTATTAAATATGGATTTTCAATATATTGCTGAGCTACATAAACCTCTACTTGCGTTTCATCTTTCTGATCATCTGTGTGGACCCCATCCTGTAAAAGAAATGACATGCAACTTCCCTTTTCAAGGCTGTATATGAAAAAGAAGGTGGAAAAACACCCACAGGTTTTCCAGAAGCCCAATTTCCATATAAGAAGACAGATGGCAGAAAAAGTATCCAACTGTTTGGAAAAACCCACACTGTAAGAAACTTGGTTGCTGCCCTGGAAAACTGTGAAGAAATACTGCATGAGACAGGTACAGGTAGACAGAACAAGTCACTAGCAGAAAGAGAGGATGAAATAATAGCGGAAGAACAAGATGCCAGTTGGACATTCCTCCCAAAGAAGAGAGAGTAGTTCTCACCTTCTTCCAGTCAATGATATCCTTGAGCTTTCGGAACAGAAAAATTCCTTTACCTTGTGACCTGCCAACCTGCAGCATGGAAGAGTAAAGTTACTTGCTTTAGTGTTACGTTTTCCTGCTGTTCCCCAGAATTTCAGTATAGAAAGAAGACCTGCAAATCTGACTCATCATATACTTGCATCCAAGCTTATGTAAGGTTAAGGTGGGGAAGGGGGAATTAAGGGTCCACGAACAGCCCTCTATTGCAAACAGCTCAGATTTACAAGTGCTAGGAGCGCTCCTGAAGGAATGGGCAGAACATGCAGATAGCTTATGAGGAAGTTCCGTAGTACCTAAAAAGAAAAAAAAAAAACCCACATGCTTGCAGAAATGTAAGTAATGCAAATTATGCTGTTGGGAATTTTGAAGTTACATTTTAAGTTTGTGTATGCACAGAAGAACTTAATTAAACAGGAAAGCCATTAGAGATGCCAGAAAACAACGATAAGCAAGAGCAGAACAATCTTGAAGACAACCTAGTTTGTACTATACATTTAAAGTGGCTGAAGAGTGGCTCAGATAAACCACCAGAGAAGCAAGGCTCCACAGAGTACCTTCTAAAGAAGTCCAGCCACCTTCAGTCCCAGGACTCAGCAGCGTACCTTCCCTAGCCAGAGTATGAATAAAGGCAACCTGTTGCACGGACTGACAGAAGGAGTGACACAGAGTTTATCTTTACTGGCTTGGGAATTTTGAGGTCAGCCACAAACTATTTAAGTTGTTGGTATAATTTCAGTAATCACAGTCTTTTCATTTACTCATTTTACTGCAAGTTCTGGTTATTTTCAATGTTAATTGAGGTTGCGGGCACAAAATGAGCTTAATGTAAGGTTTTTTGTTGCCAATTAACACATTCCCATTTGTAGAGTTGGATAATCACTAGCTGCTATCCTCCTGGCTGTAATTCACGGGTTAGTCTGCCTAATTACCTCCCATTCACTTCTCACAAGCGTACCCTTACTGATAGGCCTGACTTGCAGAGTAAGGCTAATCGTCCTGTCCTAGCCTCCTTGCCAGACCTACTGCGCAAGGCAAAGCAACTGTCCTCTTGCTGGTCTTACAGATGGGTGTGTTTCTAATTATGCACTACAGCATAACATTTGTCACGTTAAACGTCCTGAATCATCTGCCAGCAGCAAGGCGTTTCTCAGCTTCATGTCGTATTTTTGTAATTTCTAAAGGAAGCACAATTTTTCCTTGATTCCCAGGATAGGGGTTGAAGTGGGATTTACTGCATTCAGCACAACTCCATTTAGTTATAGGTTTTGAGGGACAAATGAGATTTGGAACATGAGGCTACACTTCAGGTCTTTAACAGCAAAGCACAGAGAAGATAACGCCAGTCAAATCCACTCTAACTTGCACTTCAGGCTGCTCATGGAGTCCCTTGTAATCTCTTCACATTCTTGGGATGAAAGTCAGCTTAGTAGGTTGGCTGGACTTGCAAGGGCTGCCATCTAATATAGAGGGATTTCTTTAAAACCAACAGATGTTTTCATAGCTCCATCGTTAGGGGCTGCCCAAGCATGTTGCTTAATCATTAAGTCCAATTAAACGTCCGTTCTGCATACACACATACCGTTTTGCACACTTGTGGCTGAACTGAAAGATTTCAGAGTGTGAACTTGGTCATAACCACACAGCAAGAATCCCTGGGAGCACAGTCTATTTCTTCACACAAAGATAGAGCGCTTTCCATCTTCACCATTGAGTTAACTTTAGCTTTAAAAATAAACTGAGCTGGTTTTCAACTGCTGGAATAAACTGTTACACAAGATGAAATGCTTTGGTAGTATAAGTTTACTAGGAAACTGGCCAGAAGCATCGCTCCTCCTAGCCACCTTGCTATGTGCAATTCTTCCTGCGGACTTCCTGAATACTTTCCTCTCCCTCCAAAGAAGATCAAAGGCATCATTCATCTCTGTCTCACTTTCCCTAGTACAGCACCATACTTACTGGTTTCATAATCCAAGTGATGCCAGGATTCTTGCGAAACTCTTCCACAAACAAGTGGTACTCTAAAGGCATTTCGAAGGTCTTTGGAAAAAAGTCACATTTTCTTGCCTCAAGCTTTCCTGCTTCTCTTTCCAACTGCTTCCGAAACCTCTTCAGATTCTTCACTAGATAGTTCTTCCGAGTCAGCTGAGTAGAAAGAAGTGTAAGATTAGGCTCAGCAGATGCTCACATCTTCTGAAGCACCACCCTCTTCTCACTTTAAAGGCCCTTGAGATGCTTCTGGTGACATCTGGGAATCAACTGCACATACTCATCAGAGAAAAAAAAAACACATATATATGGACACCATTGAGAATTGCTTTTTCCTTTGTGGAGGAGAATGCTTCATTTCTTTTTTCTTTTTCATCTCAGCACAAACACGGGGAAGCTAGAACAGAGCAGGTCTTATAACCCATGTTTTACCATTTTTATGTGACTTTTCAGTTCAGTTGGCATATTAATTTCCAGGACAGACAGCAAGTGTTAGGACCAGTCTAATCTGAGTTTGCAGGCAGACCTCTCCTGAAAGTTGTTACCCCCACGGCTGAGCGGGACGCGTATGAGCTCCTGAACCACTACAGGTTACAGACTGGTATTATAAACCATCGCGAGTCTTGGTTTCTGCCAACACTGCTAAGCGTGAAGGCTCAGGAACAGATATACATCCTGCTCAGCTGCCTCGCTACAGGGGAAGCAACATCCAAGAAAGGTACAGGGCAGACCTCTGAAATAGTAAGTTTTAGCTGTTCCAACTACATCTGCCCACAAACACGAGTCAGGCTCCCCAAAAGGCAGCCATGTTGGAGGACCTGTTGCAATTCAACCACCCTCAGGTGTATTTAAAGTACAGGTTCTCTTCTCTGGGGCAGATGAGGTATTACGAGTGCCTCGACCCTGAGGCACTGGGTTTGTAGGAGATCCTGCTTGGGCTACGCTGGCAAACTCGCCTTTACCTGTAAAAGGGAGCACGTGTGTGTGTTTTAACTAGATCCCCTCATGCAACTGCATTTCAAATTTGCAGGGGTTGCAAATTTGCAACCTGCAAGGGGCTCACGGGGGTGAGCTAAACCTGGAATAGAGCGAAGTGCAAAGTCACGTTCCCGAGCAAATTCCCTGCCAGTTGGCAGGTCCCGAGCAGGGCTCAGCAGAGCTGCCGGGAGGCAGCGGGAAACCTGACGAGCCGTTTCCATCCCTAGCCGCTTCCCATGGCAATTTACCCCCCGG